GGTATCACAGAAGAAGCTATTAATTTCCCTGCTTTTGCCACATGGTACCTCTTCAATTAAGGCAGGAACCTTCTACTTTGTTGTCTATTTCTGTTAACCATTCACACATAGGGCCAGACTTTTGTAGTTACTTAGGCACCAAAAAACACATACTGGATGGTATTGATGTGAGCAACTGGTAATTCCTGCCAGCAGACATCAGCAAAGAGACAGCAGTTCACATCTAGCAGGGGAAAAGCCACAGTTTATACCGCTAGGGATCTGCTGAAAAAGACTCCGAGTCTTCTCAGAGAATGTGTTCAGAAGCCTAATGGACTTCTGAAATTTCTGTTTTGCCAAACCGCTGAATGCGTTTCTTTGATGATGGCAGGAAGAATAAAATTACTCTGTAGTTTGTTGCTAGAACTGCAAGAACTGGCTTTAAAATTAAGCTAAAATGGTTTATTGATAAGCAGACCTTGGAGGTTTTATTGCATACATGATCAGATGGAAAATTCAGGAGTGATTTTGTCTCTGAGTTTCAAAGAGTTTAAACAGTTTAGGCTCAGTACTATGGACTTACTAAGTAAGATTACTACCCTTTTCAGCAGCTACTACATTGCTGCATGTATAACTGAAGTAGTTTAGGACTTATACATATTTCACCTTGTCCTGAGGAAAAGGTTGTGTAAATAGAGCAAATATTGTTGCACCATGATTCAGCCGTTTCTGAAGGAGATTCAAAACCATGTGGCTCTGAAAGATTTAGAAATATGGCATCCTTGTGATGTGTGGTTTTACTGCAGTTATGAGTGCATTCTGAAATAGTTCATGAATTTTGACATCCCTGTAAGACTGACAGAATTCTGGTTTTGAGGAAACACTAAATGAGGTTCATAGTCCATCTTGTTTTATTCACCACCCTTCATGCTCCTTTGAGCCAAAGCCATTTTGAAAGCACTATCTGCAACATGGAAGAAGCAAGGATAAGAATTTTCATATTTATGAACATGAAAATACATGGAATCATGGCAGTATGCCTAAAGTTATGTGACTTCATTTGACCCTGGAAATTAGAAGCTTCTGAGGAGAATAAAAAAACCCAGAAACGCCTTTTACTTTTTTTTTTTTTTTATGATCAAATTTACTTGCCTGACCTCTGATACGTGACTGAGAGGGCTGCCAGTGGCTGTCCTGTAGCAGAGGACAGCACCGTACCCTGAAGATGACCTGCCACCCTGTCAGACCTGTGACATGTTGAGTCATCACTTCAGTAGAAATCTGAGCAGTGTTCACACAGAGGTCAGCAGTAAGCTGACCTGGGATCCCCCTTTGGCACAGAGAAGACTTCGGCCTCCAGGCTCAGCTTGAAGAAATAGTATGAGCAGGGAGCCCAGAAACCTGGTTGCTAATACTCAGCCAGATGTTAAACAGTTTTGTTACGGGTGTGAAGTGCCATCAAGGTATCAGCACCTTTGATTATAAAATTGGGAAAAGCACAGAGACTATTAATGGATTTCTATGGGGACTGCAGGAATACACAGAACACCAGTTCAAGTGGAAAAATCGCTGTCCAGGTGGCTGTAACTGTGTCATGTATGTAGACAGAGTCTCAAATTTTGTGGAAATCCCAGGGAGGAATTTCGGTTCATGTGACCGGACAGATACTCCACAGATATTCCAGTGTTTGATGTACCCTGTTCCTTACTCCTCAGCTACTGCTCCAACTGGGCTTGAAATGACACTGCACCTGCTGGTGCTAGTGAGCTGTGGGACGTGAAGAGCGATGAGGGATAAAGAGGGACTGAACCCCCTTGCCTTGGTAAATCTGCAAATGTTATGGATTTCTAACTATGTAAGAGTCGCTAGTAGAAATCACATGCTTATCCATGGTCGCCTACACTAGGCCTAGCAGTTCATCAACAGCAAGCAGTTTTTCTCAGGCGGAGAACTTCAAGCCTAGCTGACTGCTGTGGAAGATTCACACATATTTTGTGCAGTGGAAAGATCCATCATACCAAAAAATTTTTTTTGCAGTAACAAAATGAAAATTGTATCCTTCTGATCAATACAAATCCTACTTAATCTAGGACACTTCTGTTCCCCTGACTTAAGAATGCCTTCTGCAGAATATTTGAGTAAGACAAAGAAGCTTTACCTATACCCTAAGGAGCTGCAGACGTACAAAAGAAAGCTGATTTGGAAAACTAACTGGGAGAAGAGAATCCTGAGGATGCATGCTGCCAAAGCCTGACTTCGGAAGAGTGAGTGGACAGGAGTTGATGTAAACGGATTTAACAACTAGCTTTTCCACAACTAAATAGGAAGATAGGTGACTTAGTCACAAAATAAGAAAAGCCCTGTGTTCACACTTTTCTCTAGAGACTTCTTGTAAGAAATACGTTTGGCTTTGTGTAAGAAATTTACAGAAAGCCTGCTGCATAAATGTTCTTATGTCTGTGTATTAGTGCATGGACACAATTACATTTGATGCGCACAAGTTGCTGATAGCATTTTAGTTTTTATTGGTCTAAATGATCTCTTTCTAATGTAGTGTTTATGTTACTGCTGTCTCTCAAGAGAAAAAGGTGCTAAACCCAAGAACTGGAAATGCAGAGATTATAATTTCTTCAAACAATACACAATAAACTTCAGAGGAACCTAAGTGTTAATAAGATGGTGTGTTTTTTCGTTACCTGTTATCCTTCCTCAGTCTCACTATCTCTCTCCCCTTCCTTGCATTAATAAACAAAGAACAGCAATGATGTCCCTGATAAAAGTGTGCTTCCTTAAACCAAGCTACTTCTTTTTAAATGATTAAATTCTGTATGTTGGGGGGAGGTGAGGCATTGCTCATGTGGCAGACTGTGGGTAAGTAGGCAAATACATGCCACAGTGAAAGGAAAGGTCAGGAGAAGCGGTAGGTAGCATTCTTTTATTACTGTAAAAAGGAATGAAACAGTGTATTGTCTCTGCCAGTCTTCCCATCCCCATCCCCCCAGTAAGACATTCTAATTAAAATGGTTTCATTTAGTATATCAGATACAAAGGTTCACTGACACTGACAATACACAATACACACTGCTCTAGCGTGGGTCCCCCACAGACCACAGCTCCTGCCAGAAAACCTGCTCCTGCGTGGGCCCTCCATGAGCTGCTGCTTCCCTCGGGGCACGTCCACCTGCTCTGGTGTGGGGTCCTCCATGTGCTGCAGGTGGGTATCCGCTCCACTGTGGTCATCCATGGGCTGCAGGGGTACGACCTGCTCCACCATGGTCTTCACCATGGGCTGCAGGGGAATCACTGCTCCAAAGTAGAGAGCAGAGGTGGCCGCAGCACCTCCTCCCCTCCTTCACTGGCCTTGGTGTCTGCAGGGCTGTTTCTCCCACAATTTTCTCACAGCTGCTGTGCAGTGTTTTTTACCTTTTCCTAAATGCATTATCTCAGAGGTACCACGAGCATTGCTGAGGGCCCAGCTGTGCCCTGCAGTGGGTCTACTGGCGCTGTCTGGAACTGACTGTGTCCAGCACAGAGCAGCCTCTGGTCTCTTCTCACAGAGGCAGCCCCCCATCCCCCCAAACTTGCCATGCAAACCTACTACCACATCTTACAAAAACTCAAGGGTTTGCTTATCAATAAAACATTGTAACTTAATTTCAAACCTAATTCTCGGAGTTCCAGGAACAAGCTGGAGGCTAATTATATTCTTCCTGCCATCATCAAAGAAACGCATTGTGGCTGTTTGGCAGAACAAGAACCTTGTGTGTGCAGGAGGCCTCGCCACTTACTCACTTGGGGCAAACATGACCCAGATTTTTCAGTTTGGTTCAGCAGATCCCCAAGCCAGCAAACGGCATGACAGCCTAGCTCTTTCGAGAAGTATCTTAAATTCAACTTGGTCTAGTCATTATGCTAATAACAGTTCAGCCACTTTCAAACAGCTGAGAGATGTAATAATTTCTACGTTTGCCTAGCCTGGGGAAAAAAAAAATCTTCAACATATTGTAATGGCTACCACATTTAAACTCCTAAGACAAGTTACTTGATATCTTAAAAACAAACAGAAGTGGCTAGCCAGTGTGAAACCCTCGTATTTCCCTCGGAAATCGCACGAAGCC